TTAAGGCTTTGATTTGCAGTTTCCTATCACAAATGTCTGCCTTGGGGTGATCTCTGCCAGCAAACTTCAGGAAACACAGTCCAGTCATTTCTTAAAAGGACACTGCAGAACAAGTACTTCTTGTGGCAGCTGAAGTTACTGAAGTTACAAAAACAGGTTCCTTGGGACCATCTCGTGTGTGGTTTCTCTAGTGCTATACGACTGAGTTTCTTCCTTCCCCTTAACGGAGGCAAAATTTTTGCTTCCCTCTTCTATCAGTGCACCTATTTTCTAAAAATATACAAGACCATAACAGCTCAGGGTCCTTCACCCCTCTTAACTAGCCAACAGATTACAGTCACTTGGGGTGGTGGGACAGAAGTTGACAAATACCCAGACACAAAATATAATCACATCAGAATATAATCACACTTTCTCGGAAAAAAACAGGCTAAAAGGAGACACACAAACTAGTAGACACACAAACTAAAAGTCCACATCAACTTCACAGATCATGTCTGCAATGAAATCTGCAAGGACGTGAAAGTGGCAGGGAGAGGCAGGTAGCTTGTCAGGGGTGTGTGTTGTGCTCACTCAGGTTTGGGCAAGACATGAGTGTTTTATTTTTTAATTATATTTATTTTGTACTTGGATACCTGCAAGAAAACCACCACTAGAATCTTTGAGGTTGCTACTGGGTCTGTGGGAGGGTGGGGTGGAAAAAGCATTGTTTTCCTGAACTTGCAGCTCTTTCCTGCTGCAAACTACATGGGGAAGAAAGCTCAAGAGTGAAGTGGATGGTATCTGCCTCTTCTGGTGCCTAGACAAGGAGAGAAGCACAGCCTGCTGGAATTGGAATGGGCTGCGAACAGTGCCAGGTCAGTTAGGCAAGGGGATTATACTGAAACTTTCAATTGCCATATGCTGACAAGGATATTTGAGTTAGGAAAGAAAAAGGGAGCAAAGCAGAGACGAAGGAGGTTTGACCAGGATCCGTGGTGCAGAGATGAACCATGAGACTGTGAATGGAAGGAAGGGCCTGAGAAATGACAGTTAGAGGAGAGAGTGGAGAGCAGAAATAGATGAAAGAAATGAGGGGGAAAGCTTCTGTGCCTGACAGGGCATATTGCTAGGAATGAAACCCAAGATCCCTGGCTCAGCATTTCCCTGCTGCCAACAAACATCCACAAAAATGTTTCTGTAATGCTGGGGCTCCTGGAGGATGATAACCAATTATTATAACTACTCTTTTATCTTTGCAGCTGAACTTTTGTTTGCTCACTAGCCTGTAGGGTTGGGGCAGGAGGGCTGGAGACTACGCTGAAAGAGAGCAATATAGAACCTAACACCGCACTGACAGAGTTTCAAAATTCAGGTTGCCCATGGGATCTGAACTTGCTCCCTTCCCATTTAGAGGTAAGTATAAAGATACAAATCTTTGCTAGGCACATCTTTTCCCCACAGGATTGGCTTACTCCCGAAGTAAACCAAACTGCATTTCTTTGACACGCAGATTTTCAGTACTTTGTCTCATAATTCTCCATGTGGCTCCGTGCCTCACTGGCTGTTCATTGATGAATTCTCATTCTGAATAATGAATTATCAACTCCTTCTATTTATGGTGTTCATCACTGGAATACACAAGTATGGACAGATCCACAAAAGTAACAGCTTTCAGTCACGTAGCCAATCTTTAAATTTTTCATTTATTAATTTGAAAGAAAAGCTTGATTTCCCAGGTAGCTTGTGTAAAATAGATACCCTCATAGGTACACATTTACAATCCAAAGGTCTGAGAACAAGAACACTCAGAACTCATGTATCTGGATTTCTAATTTTAAGAAGTCATCTAAGAAGTCATAAGAGGGAACTGGATTCCAGGAAAAATATTTGATACAAATAAAAACAGGAAGACCATCATTGCCTCATAGGACCTGGAGAGCAAAAAGACAAGACAGGCAAAACAATATGCATGGAAAGATAGGCAGAGAAAGATAAAGCTATTAGCAAAGGTGGGGCTTGGATTAGAACTAAGTCCTGCTCCAGCATCTATCCATTCACCCTCTCCCACATATCCACAGAGGTCTTCTCTAACAGCTCCCATTGACAGATCTCAAGAGTTTTTAATGACTAATGTTAAGAAAAAATAGAGGCTTATGCCCTACACAAGGAGCTGTATTATCCCCAATTTACAAAAGAGGGAGACTGAGGCATGAAGCAACCTCATCTCTTCTCTCACTTAAACACATAGCGAGGACTGAAGGCAGAGTTGTTCCTTCATTTCCTCACCAGAAAAGCGATCACCTTGCATTTTGCTAGTATAAAATATTAAGATTCTTTAGTAATTTTGTTCTCAGGTGCTGCATTTCTATGGAAACATACCTTTTTAAGGTAACATAAAAATGCTGACTGCTTTTAAAAACTCCATTTTACTTACCTGCCTTTTACTGCCATAACTGTTTCTATGGAAACTAGAACTGGCCATGATTCAGTCCTACAACATGAATTCTCACTTGTCAGTTTTACCTTAAAGTGCCACCTTCAAAGTCCTTTAATAAACCAGTAATAATTGTGTTGCCTAATGAGTTTTCATATTAAACAAAACAAGAAAGTGCGCTTTCACTGCATGTTCCACACAATATTTTGTGGGTGTGGTCTAAGTCTAAGAATTTTAACAGTGTGCATGATATGACTCTCTTGGTTAAGGATATGATCTTTAAACAGAGAGACAGTTTATTAGCAGTAAAAGCCCTAGTGTGTGTAGTTAGACTTACATAAAGGTGACTTATACCAATATGGGTATGTCTAGACTGCTGTCACAGAAGCATACTGTAGAGATACTGAGTAAAGGGGTAAATCAATCTACAGTGAGCTCTGTGCTCCCACAGCTAGCTGGGGTACTTCTGTGCAGGCATATGCATATGGTATTCCCTGTAGGTACAAGAGGGGGAATGCACTCAACCAGAGTTAAGTGTTAGTCTGTGTTGGGTGGCTACTGTGGAAAAAATAAAGCATGCAAGCTTAAGGCACAACTATTCCATACAGTTATTCAGAATTAGAATGTGTAACTTGAAGATAGGCTCCTCCATTAATTTTACCTTAACCTTTCACTCATGTAAAAACTGTAGGCTCCCTTGTGTTCATTCATTATTTCCCCGAGTTAACTCAAGTGAGAAAAAATCCCTTTTCCCTTGTTCTTGGAGAGCAATCTCCAACAGAATGCACTCTCCGTCACAAGAGTCCAGCATGGCCAGCAAGGACCAACTTAAAAACTTCCAAGGACAGATTCTTTCCGGAGTGACTTATAAATTCCTCCCACCTCATCTCTGAGGCTTTGCAGTTTACCAGTGCTTTTAAATTGCAACAGGGGCAGGGCAGAGAAGGCAGACACTTTGTGTCTGCATCAACCTCCAATGCACAGAAAATAGGTGGCTAGGGGCTTTAGGCAGACTTTACACATACAAACACATCTAAAACACAGGCAGTGCAGCATCAAAGTTGGAGGCAGTAGAACCTGTTAGAAGCTGCATGTATGACTATACAAGCTGCAAAGGACAAAGACGTAATCCTATTTTGGTATGATTTTATTTTAAAGAGACCCTAAAGAGCAACATGATTCTCCAGACTATCTTTTCCTCCAATATTTAGCTGAGCAGAGCTCCTCCCAAAACTCATCCAGCCCACACACTTGGCTGACACCCTCAGAAGAACCAGGTCTGTCTTTCTTCTAACCTAAGAGAGGAAATCACCTTTCCCACTGAGCTAACAGACTTCTTTTAACCCTTTCCCAGCAAAATCAGCTTCTGCTAATACAGAACATTTCAAGAGAATGAACAAGCCAGTCTCTTAAATTAGATGCCATGCTCTTCCATATGGTCCAAGACACCATATACTTTCCTTTAAAATATCCTCAAACTCTTGCCAAGTAGGTGACTTTTCCATAATCAAGCAGCAACATATGGTTAACTCCTGAAGTGAGTTTGAATTTAGGAATCAGTATTCCAAACTAATTCTTCCATAGATAGCCTTTGTTTTTAAGCATCACTTCAAACTGATCAGTAATCAGACCAGGAATCTGAAAAGTGAATCTCCCCTGTGGCCAACCAGACCTTTCTGTAGGCATAAACTAAAGTTGTAATTCCCCTCAGTACCACTTCAGTCAGAACCTGGACTTCTTTCCCTGATTTCCAGAGACATTCAGGGGCATTGGTGGGGGCGAGGCTTCTACAACTCTTTCTTAATCCTCTTCTCTTTTATTTGCTTCTGCACAGGTACATCCTTTCCGTATCTGTTCAGGCCCATACTAAGATCTGACTAGAAGGTACCCAACTCGGAACAGCAACACTAGGAGTAGGGCAGTCTGCAGGGAAACCAACTATTGACCCCTGCAGCAAGTAGGTAATTTACAGCAAAAGAATGATTCATACATAGTTTTTCACTATGGACAAACACACCATCTCTTTAAGGCCAGAGTTTTCCACAGGCCTCTGAATGCAAATGCCAAATATTTTGTCATGCCTTTCTCTTAGCCATGTAACAACAAACCAGAGATCTGGCACACATGGGGCTACTCACTGGCTTTCCTCATGCACATGGTTTATTTTTCCCTGCTATGTCAATCCTTATAGGGCTTTACCACTACATTCTGCCTCCTGGGAGTCTGCTATTTCAACTGTTACAGGGAAGGTGCAAAGGAAACAGGAAGGATATGTTCAATCCTTTCTACTCTTTTCAAGTTAAAGGTCTCACCACCATTAATTAAACAGATTAATTAAACAGCCAAGGCCCTGCAGCAGCAAGCCCTCTCTAAGGGTAAATACTTAACAGCTCCAGGCTTTGAACTGTGGCATGTAACGGAGTTGTGATTATTCCAGATCAAACATCTTGCATAATAACTTTCTTTAGGGCAATGTTATTTCATCAATGTCTTGTGTTCCTCTGCAAGCACAGATATGGATAGTATTTTTCCCCAAAGGTGACAAGGAATAGAAGACATAAAAGGCAACAGGGAGCATGAAGATTACAGAGGGTCTTGCTGGCTTTCATATTTTCTTTTCCAAAGCATCTGATTTATGGTTTACCATTTGTGATGTAGGAAGCAATTTAAAAATAAACAGCAAAACAGTGGCTGATTTTGAGGATTCTGAACAGAATCCACAACAACATGCATCAGTAGTGCACACGGTAGCCAGGGGAATCTAGACATGCTTGACAAGCAGTGAGCAAGGTTGCCGGATGGGGAAGGGATGCAGGACCCCATTCCCGAATTTTTGTTTTCAGAGAGAGGCGAGGACTGCTTTTAATAGTGGGAAAGCTGTGCACATTCAGGAATACATATTTATAGACATGGGTACACCAACACTGCCAGGAAGAACAACCAAATCTTAAATCTTTTGGTGGTTTCTTGCATGTGCTTTCTCTAGCTATTACAAGGTATACATAAAAAGAAAGATCCACAGCTATTACCATATGGAAAGATCACAAGATCAGTCTTTAAGCCAGAAAAACACGTCCTGACGTGACCACTGCTGTAAACAGCACTCTTTAGCAGTGACTTTTCTTTCGGGCTCACTGGATGTAAATGTGAGGATGGCCATGTCACATCTTACTGCAGGGAAAGAACCCAGTTTCTTTTCCAACTCCCCTGCTGTATTAGGATGTCCAGAATCAGTTTGATACAGCTTTCACTAGGAATAGCAAGGAAGTCAGCAAGAATATTAAAACAAGTGTTTGGACAACTTCTCTGAAGCTGGACAAAAACAGCATTTGGAGAATCAGAATGCTCTCTTTTTCCCCATCTAGATCATACCAGGTAATAGTAGCTTTTTAGGGTCTCTCAATCTCTCCTTCTTCTCTCCTTTATCCTGAATGGACCAGAACAAATGTATCATCTTCTCTCTTTAAAATGCCATATAATATCCTTCCATAGTGCTGACAACATCACTGTTACTCTCCAGCAGTTCCAAGACACGGTGCATCACCACTTCAGCCAGAGAGGGGTTGTAGCTCTGCCGAACACAACTCAGGACATGAAGGAAATGGCAGCCTTTTTCAGCATCTGCAGAAAAAAAGGAAAATGTAGCCAGGCGTGGAGGAAAGACTTCAGTCTAACTGTCTCTTTTTAACTATTATAATCCAGATTAGTTATAAAAACCCCACAGCTGTTGGAGAGGAAGAATACCCTAGGTACTAAAGCAGAGATGCATGTATTCAGAGGGAAGAGAGCCAGTCTGTGCCTACAGTTCTCCAGTTATCAACTATTCCCACTGACTTTTCTGGGAAGTGTCATGGCTGTAACACTAGTAATAAGGTTGAAAGATAAGCAGTCTTGCAGACTCTAATATACAGGGCTCATTCAGCACAACCTGATGATGAGGTTAATAACTTAAGGGTACCTCCACTGTCCACCTATGCAAGCCATCCAGTTTCTGCAACTGCAGAAGAAACCGAACGAAAATCCTTTAGCTCATACACAACTTCAAAAACGTGTATAACAGAAGGCCCGTGGCCAGGACCTGTGACTGCTGGCCCAATGCTGGCATCTTGTGGAAAAACTGCTACAGTGCAACTTTCATTCACCTAGCAATGCAATCCCATCCCCGCACTTCAGACTACTCAGACAGTTAGGGGAGTAGAAAGTCACAGAACTTCAGTATCAAATTTTATCTCCCTTTAAGAGAAATGAACCCTGAAAATGTACAAGAGAACAGAAATGTAAAAATAATCCCCTTTCCTAGACGGCAAGCCAGAGACAAAGGTCCTTAATGGCTGCAGTATTGCACACTGCTACTGCGTGCCTGGTGGAGCTGTCATTTGAAGCAGAGCTGTCCCAGTCAGCGTTTCCTCCAACAGACCCTGTAAACCCACTAATCATCAGTGCTGCAGGCTCCCAGTCTCCCCAAGTGCTGAACTCCACAACAGATTTATTTCTCCTCCGTGGCTAACAATGGAAAACTAGCATAAATGAGACACATCAGCACAAACAACTTTCCTCCTCCTCAGCTCTCAGCATACATGATGTAAGGTAAGTTTGATAAAGGTACTGAGAAATTGCCATGGGCCAGGGAGGTCCCTGTATTTTGTTGTTGCTGCCTTGTTTTTTATTTTTGCCAATCTCTACAATCAGCTGAGCCCCAGAACTGCCTTAGAAGCTGCTGAGAAAAGTCACTAGTAGATAGGAGGCAACACTGAGCACTGGTAAATACACAGTTCAGCCTAATTCCTGTTAGGCTGTGAATCAGGCAAAGATATTTCTTTAGAAGTCAGTGATCCAGCAGATAAAAGATGTTTGGGGCTGGTAGCCAAAAATGCGTCCACCACCCTAGAATGGGTAAGTGCAGAGAACAGAACAATGCTTCTACCTGGTCATAGTGACTGTTGTTGCAAACAAAGTGGGTAGCTGCATTTTGCATTAGTCATAGGTTTGTCATAAGACGGTAAAAGTGCCCATCCCTGATCTACAGTAACTTAGCTTAAGTCTCAGTGAATTAGATTAGTGACTCAAGTGTTACCCAACAGTACAATACATACTTTCCTCCTAGATGCTGGTAGAAAATAGCATTTTGGTGTAGCTGCAGGTGTGTACAATCATTAAGTAACCCAGAAACATGCCTAGTCTATGGCCCAGCTTTGAGGGAATACAATCCTTGCAGCAGAGTGATGCTGTCCCTCTTCCACTGACATACTGGGTTCTAGCTTTTGTCCATCAGCTGAGGTAAGCCAGGCTGTGATTAACTGTCTTGCCTGACTACCAATATCAGAGAGGACAGAGTTATAGAACTACCACTATTTGCCCACTGGGTCCATTCTGACATATTAAATTTAACTTCAAGTGGTTCTGTTTTTTCCATCTCTACTATTAGTCTCATCTAAACCTAAAACCTGAGCAAATTTGTCAAGAAAAAAAAAAAAAGAAACAAATCTGGACTAAGTCTACCATTTTGCAGTTCAGTCTGGAGTAAAAATGTACTGTCATCATTTTCTGGCTATCTTAAGTCTCTGGGTAGACCCACAGTGGCCTCACATGAGGGCATTTAAGATCAGACTGTTTGGAATTAAAATTGGAGCCAAGAACTAGGACTGTCATGTAGGCATATTACAGATCAGGGTTTGTGGAGCTCTGACTAGGCATGCTGAGGCTTTTTTAATATGTACAATAGTTCCAGCCAGCTGGGTTGGGCCTGAGAATGTGTCACAACTAAAGCAATGGGGTGAGGCATTGCCTTGAAAACTGGCAGAGAAGTAACTCATTGGAGAGAAGAGCTTCGTTTATCATAAATCAGTCTTCCTGTCATGGAAGATTAATATTACTCTTGAACGAAAATGGGTGGGAATTTCTTGCAACAAGCAAGCAAAAGCCCTTGAGGTATTACTGTGTTACTATCTCACTACGAGCCTGCTCACTAGTCAAGGCCAAGCGGGTGGCTAAGACTGCCATTCCACCAGCAGAGGGGGTCCGACAGTCACATTGAGCTCTGCGCTCTTGCATCATTCAGTGACAATAAAAATAGCCGCAGTATCCCGTTGGTTTTGATGGAAGCTTCTTGGCTTTCCTTCTCAAAATCTTCTATTACCAGTGACCAGGACATTGAAACGGTCCTTCTGAAAACTAGCAAAGAGACACTGACCTGGAAATTGTCCTCTTTACAACAGGAAACTAAGTAGGTGGAAAGCTTCAAGGAGAACAAGAGGCTCTCTAAAGCAGTTGCTATTTTTAATCTGCTGAGTGTGGAAAACATGGCTTTGAGGACTCGGGACTCTTCACAGTCTTTTCTGTGACTGATCTACAAGTTACTCTCTGCTGTTGACACCTCCTGACTGAGAGAAAGAACTTCGCAACATCTCCTGTAGCACTGAGAGTACTTTACCAGTGTGATAAAGTAGAAGAGGGGAGTTAACCACCAGGCAGTCACTCAGTGCCCTGTGTCAGCTGTATACAGGTTCTGGCCTTACAGTGGCACAATTATAAAAAACACCAAACAAACGGGTTCTCAGGAGAACTAGCTGATGTATAAAATGGGCAGAGGAATGATTTGACTCTTACAGAGAAGATGTTTGTATTTGTTAATTGGATAAAAGACAAAAATACAATGTGATATGTTAACTTGTTGCACCGCAACAGCCTCAGGTAAATGACCCCATCTTCATCTGCATGCCCAGTGACATCTACTCCCTCCATCCCACAAACATACAGAACTTCTACCTCCACCTACAAACCTTGTCTACAATTGTACCACTGCTTAAGGTAGCCAGCTGAAAACTCAAAAATAATACTACTTCACTTAGCCTTTTTTCACTGCAGGATAACCATCATATGCCAGGTCCTATGAGCAAGCTATCACTATGGCAATAAGACACAATAGGCTTGAGGGACAGGGATAACTCAGAAGCCACATGAGGTACATTATCTGAAAAGAAGTGGATTTTGTTAGACTGACATCCCTACCTGCAAAGAACAACCACCTGAGCACTACTTGAGCTTAAAATCTATAGAGAATATCCTACTGACTTAAGTAAGTTTCACTATTGACTTAATGGAGGCAGGGATTTCACCTTTCTGTACGGTCACTTTTATGTCAACTCCCCCGTAGAAACTGAACTAGCAAGATTTGCTACTTATCCAGAGAGCAAAGCAACAGCTGCTAGGTGCTGACCTAACTTCATTACATTTGGCTCCTCCCAAAATCTAAGTATTCTCAAAAGATATAGATCTAAGATAATGGCTGCTTATTTCAGATCTGAGAGGTTTGCTTCCTGCTGGGCACACCTGCTCTTTCTCTCTCCATGCTCACAGGAAGCTCCTCTTGCACTCACATTTTTAGCTATACTGATTAGCTATACCAGCAACTCAGCTCTGAGTTCAAGGTTAAGGACAAGAAGCATATCTAATCCAGCAGCAGGAGGAGATACTGTCATCGATATATGAGCACCAGCTCATCAGAGCCCTGGTCACACTGCTACTTACGCCTGGGTTTTCGACAGTCTTCTTTAATCACATCAAGGGTCACTTTAAGCAGCTCCTTATCATGGTCAGTCACCTGGAGGAAACAGAAGAAACTGGCAATTTATAGCAGTCTATTTCACAGTAGATGGCATGGCTGTTGAAAAGCAATCCAAGGCCATGATGTATTCTAAACTAACACTGTCATAACTACAGTCTGCATTATAGACTGCTTCCAAGACTAATAATGAATGTTAAATCTTCAGTTATTATTTTTAGTACCATTAGCAGCATCCAAGAGTTAGGTGAAGAACCTGATATGCCAGAATTCAACCCAAAGGAGGGTGACCAACTCAGTAGAACACCAAGTTTCAACCCACTGCAATAAAGAGAACTGTCCCAGGTCCCAGGCTTCAGTGTGCTCAGCTGTGTCAGCACAGTTTGACAACACAGTGAACACAGACTGCTCTTGGAACAGCAGCAGTGCCTAAGTCTGGTGCTGAGTTCTGAAAAGAACAACTCACTGGGTGATAGAGAGGTAAAAGCATCAGTGAAGTAAGCTGCAGATAAGACTTTTGAGTAAACAGGCAGCACTTGGATGTCCAGCTTCTCTTTCTGAAACATTTCTACTGTTTCTGCTGACTATGAAAGACATACCCCTGAACTTGTTTGCAACCACAGCCCAGTTCCTTACATGGTATAAGTCCCTGGAGCTACTAGGTTTCTGGAAAACCAGCCCTTTTTCTTGTAGCATCCTTATTGCTTCCTTAAAAACACTGTGAATCCTTCTGGAACTGGCGTCACTTTTTGACTTCACCTGGATGGGAAGAAAGGAATGAAGCAGATGGTGAGAAATCTCAGCTCAACTAAAGTTACCAGCAAAAGCTCCATATGCTTTCAAGAGCAAGAGGACTTCAGGTGATTTTGTTACACATTTTTCTTCATTTAGTGATTCACAAATCATATCTGTTATGTATGAACTAACCAACATCCCTAAGCTTTAAAAAACAAACAAACACCAGAAGCTTGTGCTATTCTTAAGGAACCACAATCTCCGAACTGCCTTCTTTGTATTTAGCAGCTATTTGATTATGTACTGAGAAGTCCCTTTTGGAATAGACTTGATGCTCACAGAGCATTTGACTGTTTAGCTAATCAAGCTTTGCTCATGTTCAGAGTTTTCCTGGTAATAAGGGTAGGAAGACAGGGAGATCAGTGCTTTGTAAGGTGATACTCAGGAGGAATCCAAGTGCTGGGGATTAGATTCCCATCTCCTGATTTTAAACTGAGGAAGTAATACAAGCAAAAGGAGGAAACTGGCAAGAACAGTATTTGTTTCTTGTCCCCTTTGTTTCCAAATTTTTACACAGGTTCTGGTCATGCTCTTAAGAGTTTCTCCACAGCCTAATGAAATGAAAGGATAAAGAGCATACAAAAAATTAAGACAGGTATATGAGATAAGGGAACAAAGGATTCAGTTTTGAAGGCAGGTGCGAAACAAGTCTCTTGTGAAAGGAGAACAATGTGCCTGGAAGTCCATAACTGAGGAGGTTATTTAGAACAAAGGTTTCTGTGTTTGGGATGCATCTAACAGAGTAGGAAGGAAGAAAAGGGAGAAGAAAAATCAGGGAAAAGCAGGGTTTGTTTGGAAGTAGAGCTGAGCTAAGACAGTGGAATGACAGCTAGGGAAGCGGAAGGAAACAGTAAGTTGTGGAGAGGAGAAAGTATGGGTAGATAAGAGCAAGACCATGACTTACTCTTCTCCATCTCTATCTGTCCTGCTATGTCCTTCAGCCTCCCACTTGTCTACACAGACTGGTTCAATTCCCCAATGGTTTCCTCATCTGTTGGGACACACTGTGCTCCCTGTGGTTTTTTTTGAGAACAGAGCTAAACTGCTTCCCACAAACCAACACATGATAGCTAGAACCACACCAGGGCAACCAAAGCAATATTTGCCAAGCCATTTTTTCAACTATCACCGTAAATGCTCCCACCCTGTTCTGAACAAAAGTATCAGACTTCACATATCCTACTTCACTCAGCAGAAGCACTCACAGAAGCCTTGGGAATGAAACAGGCAACCACCATGCACTAGAATGAATCCACAGGAGTATGTGAAACAGACACTACATTAGCAATGGAAGAATATCTTTTCACAAAACATTTATTCAATCCGTTTGCAAGTCTCAAGTGAAACTCCAACTGCTTCTAAGCCTGGAAGCTGATGTGCCTGACTGGGAATAGTTCAGAGATGCAATAGGGATATTAGCATTAGCATGCATCACAAGTTTCTCCATCCCCTTCCTCCAGCTAATCCTCAATATTTCCACAGGTCATAATCACATGTCTCTCTTTCTCTGTCTCACAACAGCTAACCGTCTTTTTCCTTTCAAATCAACAGTCAAAAATAATTGCCTAATAGTTCAGGATAATTAACATAGAACAATGGCTTAGTTCAGTTTTCTCCTTCTGTTCCAGACTGAAGAACTTCAGTGCCCAAATGTTTGTCTGTCCCCCATCCACCACATGTATATCAGTTTGGATAACAACAGACACTGCTTCTAATTACAAACTTGACTGTACATCTGGACACCATTCCAGTCAGAGTCTTAATACCACTATCATGTTTCTCCTCATAGTCCCTTTTCTGATGAACTGAAGGAACAAACATAAAATGTAGCAGGAAGGGTTAAGTGAAGAATGAATATTTTCTCATGGAAATGCACATTCTCATAGCCATATGTAAAATGAAGAGACTTTGCCTCTCACTGAAATGCAGTAATAAATCCTCAAGAACCTAAGAAACTGCTAGCAAAGCAACCACCTCAAGACTCTGATCAATTTTTAATGTGAAAGCAAACGTTTGGGAAAGAAAAAAGATAAAAATATCTCCAAAGAAGCACGATAATTATTCAGTTTGGCTCAACACTGAGATCCCGTCAGAAAGGGAGATAATTAAAAACAGAGTCTGTGTGAACTGACACACAGCTCAGCCTGGATGGATACTGAAACAGAATCACTAAGAATGCAAGTCAAGGCATTGACAGAGTGAAGACAGAGAGGCAGGCTTGGGAGCGAGAAAATAGGAAAGCAGCTGCTATATATCAGCACCCTCTCATACGTGCTGGAGAGTCCAAGGGAGAGGGCTCCATGGAAGAAGGGCTGCTCCTGAAGAACATATGAGGGCTCCTGCCCTCTTCAGAGGCTTTAATATTATCCTGAAATGACAGGAAAAGTTTGGGTTTTTTTCCTAGTGTGCTCTAGAATATGCTTCCTCCTCTCCATCCCTCCAAGTAAAGCAACAACTGAGGAATTTTTTTGTGAACACAATCTAAAGTTAAGTAATCTGTTCTTTTGGTCCACCCCAAATATCTCCAGCATCTTATCCTGCAAATTCATAAGTCAATAGTAATTCTTCCCAATACCTTATCACTTTCTTTTATGCCAAACCAGGTCCTCATTTCCTCTGGACTTGAATCCCCCCTCACAGCCAATGTACACCTAGAGCTTGTGATTTAGTCTACTGAGCAAAAATCTAAAGGAGACTGAACATGGGGCTATACACAAAGAGAAGAAATCTAGGACTATGAATTCCTACGTGATTTCACATCCTTGCTTTTGTTTCAGGAGGAGATTGAAAAATGATTGCATTTCAACAGTTATAAAGATGTATTGTAGCTGTTAATGTAGTTCCTTCTGAGTCACAGTTTATAAGCCTTTTACTTTTATGACACTTTTTATCTGAGAAATGCAGATATCAAGTAGTTTAACTGCTGATCCAAAGCACTAGCAAGATTTGAATCTGGATTTTGAATTTACCTCTCACAATGCTCACATCTCATTTTGCAAAGTGCCTCCCTTCAGCATGCCTTTGTTTCAGGGTGCACAATTTCAGGTTCCCTGAAGTTCTGACAGCAGGGGATCTCCCCAAATTGGGTCCATTTCAAATAAATGAAACTGTACATCCAAACACAGGAGCATCCAAAAATCATTCATTGCTTTTGCAAAACATGTTTCCTCCCTGCCCCAGCGAGAGAATAAGAAATATTAAATAAGAATTTTACTGTCACTACCCTCCCTCTCATGACCAGCCAAGGACTTTGTAGCAAAGCCAACAGAAGCATCTATGTCTCCAGAACTAAATTGGTATTTTTAATCAATATAGTCCATCTGATGGGTCTCACACAGCTTAGTGGGCTGGTGCTGTGCAACCAGTTATTCTCAGATCTTTAAAACAAGACAAACTCTCTGTACAATCAATAATAGGTCAAAGAGTGAAGTGGTACAGGAATTAGTCACTCTGTACAAAACACTGAAAGTATGTAACCTTTGGCTCATTATGAATCACAACACACCCTGATGGTGTTAAAGTTTCCTGGTATAACCACACACGTGATTCTACTCATGAATTGCCTTCTGCAATTTCTCATGCCATGTTTAATCCTTGGCTCAGACAGGTGACAATTTTAGTAATAGTGATTCTGGACATGTCAGTCCTGAAGTCCTATAATAAGCTTTGCAATATACATATTTAAAGTAGCAGTGAAGCTTCCTCAAAAGGCAGGAAGACAAACACATAGCATCAAGAATGTATAATGCACTATGTTACCTACATATAATGCACTATGTACCTACAGTACAATGTACAGCGTATATACAGTAAGTTTGAACAACACTGTAAGACTCCCTGCTTTAATTACTTGTCATTGCTGACCTTGAGATAATATTCAAATCAAGAGAAGTACAAACAGCAAAGTCTGGAAAGCACAACCCAAGTTACGTATCCAAGCTAGTGACATACACAGACTGGAATGGTAATACTAAAATAGCACACACTATAGCTAATGCATGGAAGAAGTGCATAAAAATGGTTAATCAAGACTGGCTGGTTGCAAGTTGTATTTAATCCAGTTGAGAAACTGGATGGATCAAGTTCACATGTAGTTTTCTTTAAAAAAGGAACCAAAGGCTTGTCCATTTGCCAAACATAATTGCCTAAGTCCAGCAAGTACACTCCTTAGGTTCTCTAAGCACAAGATTACTTTTTCTGGTTTTGCTTGTAGTCTTCCTTGTGGTACCCACCCCTCCAGTCACAAAAGTAATTTGTTTTAAGGGATAAGGGAAAGGCTATAGCTTAGGGATAGAGGGGGCACTAGTTATGTGAAATAAAGTTCTACTGGGTTTAAAAATTGTAACAGATTTGTTAATTTTTAATTATTTTTAAAAACACCATGTCTTCCAATTCTCTTACCCATCCTCTGTAAACTATAAAATTAAATGTTCCCTAGTATATGTCTGAGCAGAGGACATTATTTGAGTTCTGCCATGTGGATCTGCTAGAGGGAAATTTAATCTGGAAAGCCAGAAGACTGCACTGCTGGGGAACCATTAGAACTGGAACTAGGTATTGTAGGACATGTATGGGATGTGGACAGGGCTCAGGTACAGTAATGCTGAAAAGGAACAGAGACATGCTGCCTACAATCAAGCTATCCCAGCTACCTCCTTCCATCTTCACCCCCTGCTCCTCTCCACTGCCAGTGACTCCATAGCAGCTCACCACCTCCCTGGAGAAAATATTCCATGAGGAGATACCCTCCCACTATGATGAGCACTGTGCAAGTACTTTAAAAGTTGGGAAAGAGATGAAAGGGGTGCACCACTTCTCCTAGGATCACAGGGAAAGGAAGAGAGAGGCAAGAAGAGCTTAACGGCAACTGTGCTCTAGAACACTGGAATCAGGTTAAAAAAAATTAAAGTTATACATCCAAATAACTCATCCTTTCACAGTCAGGAAAAGTGCAAGAAGTGAACAAGCGTGTATATTGTGGTGTGGCCTAATTAGTTTGGTCCACTCATCTAGCTCCTGCTTTGCCAAATAAGCATGAAATAACATCGTTCCACATTAGCAGCACCCTTTTTCCTTTTGGTTTGAGGAAGATGCAAAACAGAAGACTACAGAGGGAAAAAGAAAGGAAAAGGGACAGAAATCAGATCTATTACACTTATTTTTGTGGATCAAACTGGGTACTTGATCCTTTGCCAATTATGAGAACTGACACCTTCAAGCAACAGAGCAGAGGAACAACAAAATGCGTTTCTGGAGCATTACTAGGTGCTCCTCTTAAGGCATTCAGGTCACTTGACAACTGCAGGTTCTTTCTTACGCAAACATATATAACCCTGTTTGCAAGGAATTAATACCAAAGGGCAATAGGGAGAACTGCAATTTCTAAATAAGCATCTGTGTGCCCAAATTCCTGGGACATACACTCACACCTGTGCATCAGGGTCAGGAGCAACTATTAGTTATTATGATAGCTCCTCATGGCTGTTAACAATGCTGATGCTACATTGTTTTTGTTGGTTTGGGTTTTTTGGATGTTTTTTTTCCGTGCTTTTCTATGTTCTGCACCAGTTCCTACTTTAAATGGCTTTGCAAGTTTTCATCTTGATCTTTCTATAAATGCTGAAACTTCAAAGATGCAAGTTTCCAGTATTAGTCACAATGACCACTACTTCCTTGAATGTAAAGTGTTTAGGAACTTTTAATACTGTTCCAGCTAGTTTAGATAAAATACCCTGTCCCATGTTGGATATTCTAGTATCAAACTTTTCTGTCAAAAATGAGAGTAACTCCTGTTATTGTTTATATCCATGCTTGCTTTAAAGCAAACAACAAAAATACCTTTAATAAAAAGAAAAGAAACAGCTATCAAGAAGCAGCTATCAGAAGTGGTTCAACAAGGCCAACAAGAATAGAGCCACTTTGCATTATTATTTGACATCATCTACAAGGGACTGTTTTTTGTGGTTTTTTTTAAGAATTAAACAAACATCAGACATTAACATAACATAGCACTTAACTTTACAGTGCATATCAGAATCAGGCAGTGAAAATGACTGCCATGGATTTATTTGTCTACAAAAAACCAAAAAGTAAACAAGTGAGTCACAACACTCTAGTTTAAGTTTCAGTTGCCTTTGGTAACATGGTAAAAGCCGTAACTGTTACTTTTGCAGAAATGTACCACTTTGCACCATTTGAGAATCTGGTCTGTAATTTATCCAAATATCACAGAGTAATATAAAGCCATTTTACAAAATGTTTTTTGTTCTATTTCCCATTCTGCAGTTGATCAACAGCACACTATCTCACTGGAAAGTTTCTTAACATTTTGGCTACACGCAACTGCACGTAAACTGATTTCAATTAAATCCCACCTTCTGATCCTTTCAGTGTGGCCTTTCACAACTAGGGATTTCCAACAAGAGAAACACTTAGCAGGGAGCACTGTTCATCCACTCATTATAATCTCCTTTTGAAAGCTACATCTTTATCAATATATTGAGCTTCAAATGAGAAACAAGACAAAGACTTTATGCTCCCTTCTCCTGATCAAATTCAGGATCTCAAACCATCTGTCCCAAACAGCTCCAGCACCTTAAAGGGATCTCCTTTTCTGATTCTGCCACTATTTACAGATCTAGATAAGTTAGTGCCTGTTGCAGACTGTAAGGTTACTCAGCCCTAATACAAGATTACCCTTAACAACAGAATTTTCTCATACGGCTTTCTTCAGTCCACTTTCATATGTCTCAACTCACAAGGTTTCTTCAAGGTCTGTAAATAATTCATGCATAAAGCTAAAGTACTTGTGGTTTTTGAATCCTCTGAAGGCAACAGTCTCTTATCTGGTTGTTTATGCTTAAAAAAAGTACATGTTATTATTTCCTTCCCACTAAAAACTTGAAACAGTTACATTCACTCACCTCCTGACAGCTGTGACTGGGTAGATGCGCACCAGCCAGCGGCACTAGAGTATCAATCGTTTCCAACTCCTGTTGGTAAAAGGTCTGAATTTTGTTTTCTAATAGAAAGCCTTTCACTTTCTCATGCAGCATATTGATTGAGAAATTCTGACCCTCCAAGTCACTGCAAGGATATATAGAACATGTCAAAAGGCAAGAAATATACTACTAACATTTTTAGAACAATTACCTAAAGTTACCCTGCTAGACTGGTTTTCAAAGATCAAAAGGTATTTTACTGTCCTTAAAGAATCTGAATTTAAACCCTTAATTAAAACAGACCATTTTTATATGCAATATCCAACTGTTCCTCTTCAACCATTTGCTCTAACAATGTTGTAATTTTAAGATCTATAATCTCTGAAACCATGCTACATGCATCAGACCTGCCAACAAGCATCCAGCTACCCTTAAACTGAATACAGGAATGGGTGTTTGACTCAGTTTACTGAGGCTATGTATTTGTGATTTGACGATGACAAGGACAGCAGAAGTTGAGAGTATTTTGATTGAGAAGCTCCTCATCCTTACACATAAAACAAAATCAGGCAAGGACACTCCTCTATCTAAGGTGTTGACCTCACCCCCAAATCTTGCTCAAAACACCAGCTTTTTTTACTAGACGCAAGAGGTCTGTACACAGTATTTTACTACCTTCCTAATATTCACTTTGGTTCAGCACTGTATTTCTTTTCTCAGATTATGGACAGGTATCTCATCTGAATAGATCATCAATTGTTTGGGAGAAAAGCAGGCTGCTACTGTATGGTTGTGCAGAGTCTAAATCACAGTGGGGCCCTGTTCTATCTTTCTCCACAGTCATTATGATAACAAATAAATGACAATAAAATCCCACACTTTGCCCCAAGACCAGTCTGGGTACTGCATTTACCTCTGTCCCTCCTCAGGGCCTTGGAAAGGTTTATCATAAACTTCTCTATAGAGACAGGGGAGCTCCAGCATTCTTGAAATCTGAACATCACACACAGGATCATCCACTTTATCTGGAGCAGCAAAAACAACACACATAGTTGGCCAGGGCTGCCATACCAATCTTTTAAGCAAGCATACCTGAGGCAGCACAACAGAGCTTCACATGCCAGTATTAAATTGGCAAATTTTGTTCACTGTTGTTTTTATAAAAACAAAACCACCAAGGCCACTCCTGCTTTTACAGTTTACAAGGAGGTAAATGACCTGTTGTGGTGCACTGCAGATTATGCTTTTGTCTGACAACTTATTTAACTGGAATTTATCGTCTCTATTTTACCTTCCAGCAGTCTTTATCTATTAGATGAAGTTAACACATAGTAAGGAGCTTTATTTGGGCCAAAGTGAAAGCAATTTAGAGGCTATTTGAATCGTGTCGCTCTCCTTTAATGAAACAATGGTATTATTACTAGCCCTTGAATGGGTTATATATTTATAAATCTTCTGTCTGGAAAGGAGGGTTGAATTCCCTCTCAGATTTAGCTAGAGCTGAAAAATCTAGACTTTTTATCAGCGCTACACAGGGTTTTTAAAAGACAGGCTTCCCCCCACCAAAGGAATCATTTCAGTATTGTCTCTGAAAGATTTCACTGGGGAAAACCAACTCTTACACAATAGCACAGACACTGCGGAGACGAGTTATGTAACTGGAAGCTCCTGGGGTGTAAACAGTGGGCTGCAGAACCCTGCTGCCCAAAGAGCTGTTGGATACAGGGGCAGCACCTGCATGCAGGTCTGTGCTCCAGTGACTGAAGATGAGGAGCACTTCTCAGTCATTCTGCAGAGCCAGAGAGTTTAGGAGAACCTGGGCTTCAGTGGTACAATGTGCCCATATGCTGCTGTCTGCCCACAGAAAGATTATACAGGCTATGACAAACAGCAACCGTTCCTCCAAAGCAGCTAATGCTCTTGATGAAGTGCAACATAAAAGGTCACCAACTCCCTTCCCATGGGCTTTGGCTGTTCTATGTCAACACAAAAAAAACTGAAGAGCAAGTCACTCTCACAGATACCCAACTGCAGTATCTGCATAGTACCCTTGTATTCATGCTAGTCATCTTTTACAGATTTTCCAGGGAAGCCTCATTTACAGGCAATCCAATCTCGCACATTAAGTAGTGTCTTCTAACCTTACCCTACTAAAATTGAAATAAAGACATACATATGAAAATGCAGAAAAATGAGATGCCAGAAAATAAAGTGGAAATTATGCAATGAATTACATACAGCTTAGATCTTCTCATAAATTCAGACAACTAAGTTACATATGTCCCAGATCCATAACACTCACAAAAACATGAAGCCTGAATTTCTCTTTGTTGCCTGTAGGTTCGGATGTGACCTCTGACCCTGACAACATCCCCAATCTCCAGCTTGGTTTTCTGGCTCACCATTTCTTGGAGTTTCTTCATCTGTTCAAGCACAGTAACACTGCTGGGTGTGCTTGGATGACCTGTAAGAAGTGAGAGAAAGGAGATCAGGCATTAAGGCCAAGAGTACTGTCCTTTTGCATTCACCCAAACACCTAAGTATCACAGGAATCATACTGCTAAAAAAGGGGTAAGGTCCCAGGCACCATGTGTCCTGGCTAGCAAAACTTTTGGGTGACAAAGTTAGTTTACAGTATTATATTTATTTAAATAGTTCACCTAGGGAAAGTGTAAAAGGGAGGACATACTGATTTACCACTGAAAATGTCATAGATGGCTTACAAAATTGAAACATTAATTTGAAATGGGTTTTGTCATTTTTTTATTTTGACTTGCTAAGATGGATGAGGAGAAAAGAAAGGTCAGCTGAGCTTTTTTACATAAAAGAAGAACAAGTCATCTGAGGTGGGGCCAAAGTATTCATGTGATGCAATTTGATGTCTACACTGAGGTGAATGCAACTTGACAGAACTTCACATTTACCTAACACACCTTTGCAGAAGAATAAATACTTCATAACTTAAAACCTGATTAATGATCCAAGTACCCCTAATCACAATTACAAAAGGCTGGAAGAAAGTTTCCTGTGACCCCTAGGAGCTGTCTTCTTTAGCAGGTACAAATTAATTAATTTCCATTAATAACATAGTGTCCATTCAAGCACTACTGATGTACACGTAAAATAAGAACACAAGGCTGAAATGGGCATTCTGTGTCCTCATTCTATTTCAAGCAGTATTTTATGCAATACCTTTAATGAATTTAAGTTCCTCATAAAAAACTGCTTTGACTGTGGGTCCCCACTATTTTTTTTGGAAAGCTGTGCCACAACATCACCTGTCTAAAAGTGAAAACTGTCTTCTAGATTCCAGTTGGGATTGTTTATACCTCTTGTCATATCATTGTTAAATTTAAGTAAGTTTGAATTATCTGTCTGTATAAATGGGCTTGTTCCACAGACATCAGTTTTTAACTTTTACATCAAGTCTTCATTTCCCCATTCTGTGCGTATGTAACCCTAGCACTCGCAGATGACACTAGTAACATTTATTTCAGTAGGATTTGATCAGATCCATATCAGGGTTGTCAACCTACTACATGAGCTTTCAAGAAGGTCCAAACCAGAAAGTATTCCATATTTGATCTATGAGAAATGGTGGGAGAAAAAGAAGAGAAAACCAGACAATAGTGAGTTCTGCAATAATAGATTAATTTCAAATGCCCATTTAGAACTTTCCCAAATTGTAAAAGACTGCTGCCATCTTCCCACTGTGTTTTAAGCTACTTCCAAGTTCATCACTGACAATATATGCATAAGCAGGAGGAGAATATGAATGCAAACAAAGAAGAGAAGATGAATCCTGAAACCACTGTATCACAACGGTGGGGAATGTATACCAGGTTGCTGGTCAATGGATTGACTTTGGAAACAGAAGTTGTGGCATGTGGCAGATTTCCAGCCTAGTTCCTCACTCGATGAAGTCACAAAAAGAACCACAAGAGGAAGATTCTTTGAACAATGTCACAGCATAGAATTGAAATGCCATATTACTCAGATGTGGAAAAGGTGTGACAGGGCATAATGGTAGTGGTTTTATTGGCATCACCATTGGACACAACACAAAAAGTAATATGAAACTCCCCAAATGGCCCAGGCTGTAGGATGTGATGGTTTAAAATTAGAGAGAGTTGAATTTACTGCTCTGCAAGTTGGATCATCTACTAAATTACGTAAGACAGACATGAGCAAAAATGTACAGTCAAAAGAGGAATTATTTATTTGATAAATTACCTGATAAAGATGTTTCTGCTATCATGGGATTTTTCCAGCAGACACAATTTATAACTCCAGTACTATCATCCACTGTAAAAAAATATTGCAAGAATTACAGAGTAAGAAAGCAGGTAGTTCCAAGAAGTGAAGATACACGGGTATGTAGGGAGATGACTGCCAAGGATATCTCATTCCCACCAGTCTGAAAGGGAAAGTGGATGCTCAACCCCTACTTATACATCTGAAATAATCTCCACAGTCGTTTCAGTGATGGAAGGAGCTCAGCACGAGATACCATGCTTATGTACATGGCCAGCAAAGCGTCAGGTATATTCTCAAAAAAAGATCAAGCACTAATTTAAATTATGAGGCTTCAGTACATGTATTGGATGCTAAAAGGTTTTAATCTCATTAACAAGGTCAGAAGAAGAATCAGTGTTGAAAGCTGAAGCCAGACAAATTAAAACAGGGAAGTAGGCACCAAACACAGAAGCATTACCGTAACAGTGAGAAAATAGCACTTCAACATTGGGGGGTACAGTCATGTGAATAGACTAGGAGTGCTGCTACTTCCAGCTGCATTGGTTTCCACACTAATATTGTGCACAAAGTCTGCTGTCCTTTCCCATACAAGATGTTCCAGAAAGCAGAAAGGCAGCTCCCTATAGCCTTAGTATAGGTACAGGAAGGACAGTATAGTATAGGAAGTATATAGTATAGTATAATATAGTATAGGAAGGACAGAGGACAGCACATGCTTGTGGTTCTGCTCTAGGCCAGGAGTTCCCAACTTAAAGTATATGTACTGGTGGCATGCAAGCCACTTCCCTTGCCAAAAAAGCTTAACACCTTCTCCTGAGCAGGGGAGCTATCTAGCTTTTCCTGTTTTGCTAGTACCCAGTCACAATAAGTTTTGCGATTTCTGCCCCAGGCACTGCGTTGTCAAGGACAGCAGAAAAAGACAAAACCCAAAGAAAACTAAAAAAGAAGAATCAATTGTTCTACAGATAAAGAGACTGTATATAGATGGCATATCCATCAAACACTCTCTAAATAAAAAGGCACTGAACATCTGTCAGACGACAGCAAGGATCACTTTTCATGTCCAGCTAACGCTCCAAGCACCTTGTTCCTTGAATGTAACCATCTCCAAGATTGAGCTTCCACTCTTCACAAATTGGAATCTGCAATTTTCATCTGGTCCTTAAACCATATCCACGACTACGTAAGCACCAGCAATGTTTACCAGGAAAGTGCTGATTGGTACCTGCAGTTGTTTCCTCTGGGAACCATAGCACCAAAGCAAAATGCCTTTGCATTGTCTCACATGTTTTGAAACAATCTCCCTATTTGGGGGGTCCAATTTCAAATCATTGTCTTGCCTTCCTGTTTCCAAGTAGCTTAGCTGCACATTCCCAATAACAAACTGTCCTGGTTCTGGCTGGAATAGAGTTAATTTTCTTTCTAGTAGCTGGTATAGTGTTATGTTTTGGATTTAGTATGAGAATAATGCTGATAGCAACAACTGAAAATATCCATGTGTTAAGTAGTGTTTATACTAAGTCAAGAATTTTTCAGCTTCTCATGCCCAGCCAGCAAGAAGGCTGGAGGGGCACAAGAAGTGGGGAGGGGACACAGCCAGGACAGCTGACCCAAACTGGCCAAAGGGATATTCCATACCATGTGACATCATGCCCAGTATATAAACTGGGGAGAGCTGGCCGGGCGGGGGGGCGCGGGCGCAGATCATGGCTTGGGAACTAACTGGGCATCGGTCAGCTAGTAGTGAGAAATTGGACTGTGCATCACTTGTTTTGTATATTCCAATTATTTTATTATTATCATTTTATTATTATTATCATTATTACTATTTTCTTCCTTTCTGTCCTATTAAACTGTTCTTATCTCAACCCATGAGATTTACCTCCCCCCCCGCCAATTCTCTCCCCCATCCCACTGGGGGTGGGGGGAAGTGAGAGAGTGGCTGTGTGGTGCTTAGTTGCTGTCTGGGGCTAAACCATAACACAAACATACAGCATTTATAAGATGCAGGCAATTCCAAATTCCATCACAAAAGTATGCTCATCTCATTGCTATCCCTGTTTTGAGCTGCTACGTCTGCAACTATTTCAGTTGCTTTAATTTTGTACCAGAGCATAGATAATGACCTAGCTGGTAGGATTTCCTCTCCTTGGTATTGACAAAAAGCAACTATTTTAGGGGTCAGAGCCCCCATATACCATGCCAAGCCATTCATGCAAGCCAGCAATGGCAATAAGAAACAGAGCAGATGACGTTTCACTATTACATTACTGCAGCTTCCAGATGTTCCAGCTTGCAACTGGTGGTTGCACCAGCTGCGATATTCGTCCTAAGAAGGGTTTAGAAATAAAACAAACAAGACTGAAGGATTAGGAGGCCAGACTCCTCCTCACCAATGTAATGGCTGAAAATGGAGTCCTGGAGACATTGACCTGTTCTTAACCACACAGGGAGTCTGGTAGCAGAGCAAGGCTCTGAAACAAAGTTTTCGCAGTTCACAAATAAAAGCTTTGAGCAAAAAGACAAATAACTCCTGAAGCACAGATGAATGAGAACTCTTGCAATTGTATTCTAATTAGACAGGAGAATGTTTTAAACTATTTTAATTGCACTCAAGGGGTCTACAAGCTTTTGAAAACTTTCTGTGCTCCGTGTGCCGCCCTTCCCATCTCCTTGGGTTTAAAATTTTGTTTGCTGTTTTGGTGGGTTTGTTTTGGGGGTTTTTATTTTTTATTTTGTTTGGTTGTTTGTTGTTTGTTTTTTTTTACTCTTACATTAACTATTTGAGGGATAGCACTCTCAAAGCTACCTGGTAAATGACATAATTGTGTTCATTTTTATTTCTTCTTAACAAAAAGGGTATGGTTCTTGTATGGCCTGTGTGAGCCTACTGAGATCCTGGTGAGATTTTTTTTTGTTTGTTTCTAAGGCAAGGGCCTTTCAGCCTTTCAAATCAGTTCTGGAGTATATGGAAAACCACATGTGATGTTTGGTTTTGTTAAAAAGGAAAGGAAAAAAAAAGAGGCCAGAAAGGTGCATTTACTAAAACATGAGCTTGTTCAAAGGTCCACTTTAATTACATATCCTTCTCCTAATTGATCATAACAATAGCAATAAACAATCAAATCAAAATGTCAAAATCAAGTTTTACACAGCATGGTTTGTTGTTTGTTTTTTTTTAAGCCAGGAAAGAGCCAATTCACTCTCTTTTACAATTATGATTTTGTCACCAGTTCTGGCTGCATGTTTTTCAGCACAGAGAGGACCTAAGATTCTCTTAAAATGAGTTGTGTGTATTCTGAAGTAGACAGATAGGAAATGAGGGGAGGAGATAGTGGCAGTGACACAAAGCCATTTCAGTTCTCTATCAGAGAAAAAGTACAAAGGGGGAATTGCTTTGTAAATCCCTTTTAAGCAGATGGCAAGTGAGCAAGTACTGAGCAGCGTGCGGCACTCCAACTGATGCAATGCCTGCTCTGTGACTCACCAACCAGAGTCTGCTGAAGTGAGAGATGCAAGAACTTACAAGCAGGAAACTGTCTAAGAAGTTACAAATTTACACTGGCAGAGTCAGCCTGCCTGAAAGGGAGGGCAGGCTGGGGAGGGGCACCCTGGCAGGTAGCCTGAAAGCTCAAACCAGGAACTGCTGGAACAAAGAGTGGAGTTGGATGTGAAAGGACAGCAGGAAGCCAGGCTCACCGAGAGCTGTACTTAAAGGTCGGCTGATCTAACACTAAGGCCTTAATTCCAGTACTCTGCCGTTTCTTTTTATTTCTATTCCTCCATTTTCTGCCCCAATCAAACATTTCCAATGAGTTTACGTCCAAACTAATGCTGACAGCAGCGTGGGAAACCCTCGCCCATAGAATTGGTTTTGCCTTGGTCATTTTGACTCTGTCTTCCTCGGTTCTCATGAAGTGATAACTGCATTTGCATACTAGTGCAATAAAAGAATAATAGCTGACGTTCAATTTATGTTTCAACACTTCATCAATTACATCTCCACCTCTTAACCTAGGTACTTGTTTAGCCTGTGCTACTTCAAGTGCCAGAGAAACTTATGCTTCAAAATATTTACTGTTAACTCATTATTTAGCATCATGGCAGGGTAATAACAAACATCCAGAAATTAGACTTAAAAAAAAAAATCTAGAAAATATCCACCTTAAGAAACTTGCAGGGACATTTCTATAGAGCACAGAGTCAACTATGAGCAGCCACACCCAGTGTGGGGTATGCTATATGCACTAGCAGGTAATGCTACTCTGCAGCAGTATGACGCAACTGCAGGTGTTGTGGAAGCTGGGACCTGGTTAAGTTGTCAACTGTATCTTCACAATACACTTGTGAGTCAGGGAATTGCTGCTGACTCAATTTTATAAGTAAGGGAATTGGGTAAGAAGACACCCTTTGCAACTTACCTCCATCAGATGGAAACCCGTGGCAGAGGAAGACACTGGACAGGAGTCCTTCAAGTGCCTCGATAGGATCTATGCATTTGGCTCCCCCTTCCTACTGTGCGATGCCCCCCCCCCCCCCCCTTTAGAAACTTGCCACATCACCACTACTCCACTCTGCTTTTTCTCCAGATGAAAAAGTCAGCTAAACAAAATGACAATCAGATGTTTCCATGTTAATAGTCTGAATATTGAGAAAAGCAAAAGGGAGGAGACAACTCCTAGCTGGTGCTGGCAAGGACTGGTACTATGATGCTGGAGTTAGACTTGCTAAGGCTCTTACGCATCTAAATATAAACAAGATCCTGACTGCTATTAAAAGCTGGCTCCAAGATACAACAAAACATACAAAAAGTCAGAAGGGATTTCTAAGGTTCAAAAAAGGAAGAAGTGACTTCCCATTTGCAGGCACTGTTAAATCCATTTATAGCTGACCAAAGGAATTGCATACATGTATGAAAGGAAGATGGGGGAGTCCAGTGGCAAAGCAATAACCAATATTAAGATTTGCTAGATGACCCCAAACAAATCAGTGACTCTGTTTTAACAATTCATTTCTCTGCTTTTGAAGTGGAGATAAACGGTAGCTTCCCTAAGTTTGCTAAGTAATCTGAGCTACATATATACATTATATTAGGATAAGACACAGTTGTTTCAAGAACAGACAATAATCAAATAAGGCAACCTTTAAGTTCCAACGGTAACTAAGATTACAAGGCTGATTAAGTGCAAGAAGAAAGAAAGAAACTTTTCTTACCTCCGTAATTATAAAAGGCATCTCGCTCTTTCATTTGAACCACTATCCCGAAAACATCCACCTGTCTTACTGGATGTCCGTTATAAAAGAATATACCTAGACACAGAACATTCTTGGTAAGTGTAACTATTTATTTCAACATCCTACCCTACATAGCTACATTTACCAGTACAAAACCCATACTTTCTTATGTTTTTAATATATCTTAAATTATACAATGCCTAGTCATGTGAAAAATCCCCTGGATCTGTGAGGACTGGAAACACTAGCAGGAAGAAGTATCAGATGTACTTAGGATACCAAAAGCTTGCTTTTGCAGAGCATCAGAACTTTATTAACCTCTTGTTTTCTTGCACATTTGGATCTGAAAAACAGATTGTTTGCTGCAGGCATTAGGGTTTTTTTTAGTTGTTTTTTTTTGTTTGTTTGTTTTGATGTTTCATTTTGGTTTTGTTTTGTGGTTTGGGCTTTTTGGTTTTGGTTTTTTTTTTTTACATCTTCATCAGGCTTCAGAATAAATAATAGAACACAATGGAAGCAGTTTGAGTTTCTCACAATGCAGCTATTCCTGATTAAGGCAGAGCCTCCAGAAGGAAAACTAACATAATTCTGTCTTTCATTTCTAAAAGAACAGGAGCCATGGGGGGAGGGAGGAGAGAAACAACCCTCTTAGCTTGCAGTGTACACTATGCAGTCATCATGGACAGCATCCTGAATTTCAGTTTCTGAAATAACACGTTCTAAAAACATCCCCTCAAACCTATTTTTGTGCATCTGTAATGATGACTTGAATAACACGTAAAAACACGTCCAGGAAACAGTGAGGTATCAGAGCCCAGTGGACTTTGGCAACACTGAGGTTGCCGCAAGCTGTAATCTCCTTCAAAGAGAGTGACAAATGTTATTAACAAACATTGGTGTAAACATTATACACTGAAGCTTCACAGTCCACTAGCAGGAGGATAATAGGGCAATAAACTCCAGATATATCCTGGTCTGGCTAATTTTCAGTCAATGTGTTTTCTTCAGTTTTCAAATACCACTGCTTTACTGAAATATGCCATCTGGGATGTTCAATAACTGTCTTCTAAAATAAAGATAACTCAAAGGACTCAGAAGGGAACATTTGGCTCCATACGCTGTGGCAAGTCTTATTCTTACAAAGGGAAACACTGCAGCAAGAGAGTCAGAAAAATGTTCTGTATTAAAAAAATCAAAACCAAAATCCAAAAATAACTCATCCTACATAGCTGGCAGCCTTAAATGAGCCCAGAATTAACTTTCTTCATATAAGAAAGACAAAACCCCCAAAGTTTCAGAAGAAATCACAGGTGATCAGTCAAGCAGCTCAAACAGAAGTTTTGCTCATAAAAACCCACCCCAATGTTTTGAGGATGCATCTATTGCTGTTATCTTAGAGCTGGCTATACTAATCGTGCAGTCACTGGTCAGGTCTGGTGTAGAGAATATTTAGCAGGTCTGTCCACTTTTCTCTCATTCCACTTACCAGGACACCAGTAAACACTGCTACAGAAACCCTCAATGGAGATGCTCCTGGTGTATATAATTATTCACTAAACCTTACAAAATCTCTATAAAAGAAAGACTGGGTCAGCTTCAGGGTAAACCTGTGGAGCAGAGACTCCAAGCTCTTGACTGCAAACAAGCAACATGTTATTATGTTCATGTCCCAGTTAGTAAGCTCAGTTTTGGCAAATGACAGACACGAGATAAAACTGGTTCTCTCCATCCCCATAAACTCACATAGAACTCCACTCTTACTCTCTGAGAAACTACCTAAATTCTTTTGAAAGACGAAATTATATTTACACTATTAAAAGTTGTTGAACTTGACAACTTCAAGGTGCAAATTGTTTCTCCTGCCAGTTTATTTGTTCAAATCATGTTCATATTGGTAGCAATAAAAATATACTAAACATTTGAAGCTATGTACAAGCACATTCAGTCAAGCTCCTAGTAACCCAGTAAGTAATACATACATTAATATGCTGTTACCACAACAGGAAGCGATAGCAGCAGTATTAGGGGGCTATAGATAACAGAGCTCTCTAGGGCAAGTTCTGGTCATGTCTTTACCAGCATCACTGAGCACTGAGCTGTTTGCCATTGCTTTAATTATTATTACCTCCCTTTATGCTATTTGTAGCTTCCCTCGCTTGTTGATAAGCTGCCACATTGCAGTGGTGCATGATAACTCTAAGACAAGCTCATTTCCATTATGTGACTATGTGTTACAATTGAGTTTGACACCCACTCTCTTTTCAAGGCCTCTAAGACAACACAATTGCTGTTTTTATCTGGGAGGTTTTCCACCCTTCTTGTCATCATTTATAGCAGGAGAGTAATTGGCCAGGTTTACTGTTTTCCTCTGTGTTGTTTTAAGGGATTAGTCATTGTGGTATCAAATCCTAATGCTTAAAAATGGAAAGAAAAAAAAACTTATTAGGTCATTCAGTCCATTTCCTCAGGGCCAATGCAAGACTGTTCTGTACAGTAAATTCCTGGCAATCTGTACAGTCAGGATATAAACAATCCCAGTGAAAGGCATCCCACCTTTTTCCTGGGAAGGCTGCTCCACTGTTTAGCAGATGTCATTCTAAGGATGTTTTTCCTGACATTCAGTCTGTATTTCTTTCCATTCCTCCTAGTCACAAGTCTTTGTTTTGCACTCATTCATTCTTAATTACCATTACTTAATGACTGATTTATAGCCAACCATATACTTAGCTTCAGCTGGTCTTTAACAAACCCATTAAAGGCAGGAAAAATTGACAGCAAACACCTACCTCCTTCCTTCCCCTAAGTTTTTTCGTGTTTCTGTTGTGTCATTTGTGGCCAATAAATAAGGTACACTGAAAGATGTCTGGTTTGCTATATACACAGCACCAGGAGAATAAACAAAATTCAGGATGTTTGTTCTATGAAACTTCATTTTATTCTTTAAAGTTTTGTTTAGAAAATGATACAGGATCGCAAGCAAGCTTAGTTGTGCAAAACGCCAAATGCAGAGGAAGTGGTGAAAGCTCACATGAACCAATTTTAAAGGCTGATATCTTGACATGACAGATACCACTTCCTTAGGGTCATCTTAGGAAAAAACTAATAACAAAACTGAAAGAGTCCCTGAAGCAGAAGACAACTCACTTCAGTAAAAGAACAGAAAGGGAAATGAAGGGAAATTCAGGTAATTTAGAGGTCAAAAAAAGAGAGCAGTATTGTACTTTCTAGGACTGTTCCTGCTCTTGTGAAATGTTTGATGTTTATAAGTTTAATTCTTCTGAGTATATTTTTGCATGTGTATGTACAAATGTCCAAGTCCAAACTACAATCCTATTCTGCTGACATTGAATTGTTTTGTATTTTGTTTGAAAACAATTAAAATGTCTCTAACTGAAGCAGAAACAGTTTTTGCCAGATGCACTCGCTACACCAGCACTACTACAAGACTGCACGATATAAAAAGGCCTTTAAGTGCTACTACTCACTCTAGTACAAACATGAACAACAGACTGTAGCCTAATTTAGGAATGGGTTGAAGACAAAAGTTTCCTATCATGTTAAATAACAAAGAGGTATATTTCCTGGGCTTTACAGTTTGTACACAAAAATGATTGCGAGAACAGAAAAAAATCCACACCAGTCCTTCATTTCTGCAACAGTAGCACTGCTGTTATCCTTGCTGTTAAATATGACTAACAAAAGCTATAAAGCACAGCATATTCAGAGAGCCAAACAGATGTACCTTGTCTCTGTGGAGGAAAAAAAAAAAGAAAAAGAAAAAGAAAAAACCCAAACAGAACACCAAACCCAAATCAAAAACACACTCTGCTTAGGGTTTACTGTACTGCTTTTCCTCATTAATTCTAAGTTCCTTGGGTTGCTCCCTGATAATCTTGCACCTTGTCAAGCTTCAGTTTGGAGTAATGAACCCTTCTACAGCAGAACACATACTGCAGTCTATATTTAAAGTCTTTGTAGTGAAAACAGAAATGCAAGGTCAGACCCATGCTGCTTTAGACAATGTGCACGTGGGTGATACTGGCTGAAGACCAGCAGGAAACAGTCTGCAAAGCATATGATTTCCAACAATGGTTAGGAAATAAAAGGTGTGGTATTAAGATTCAGCAAAGGTTGTTCAAATATATGAAGAATGTTATATATTTATCATATCTAGAAATTAATCAGACAAAACCTCAAAACCTGCATCTTTTATAATAAATAAATATGTATGTCTTATAATATATTAATATCCAGAGGAAAAAGCAAAACACATACACCCAGCAATCTCATCAACCATCAAAATTTTGCAACAGAGAGGCATAAAATCCTTCTCAAATGTTGTAGAGACAGTGGGAAGATATAACACATATGGCCAGAAAGGACCAGCATTTTTAGAATTAACTTTATCAGAATATAACAAGCAGTACCACACAGAGGAAACACAACGTTAATGTAAAAGAGGTTCTGTGTACCTATATATATATATGAGAGGAAGAAAAGCCATTAGAACAAAAACATTTTATTTTTCACATATATTTCACATACAACCTGTTGTTCTTAGAACTGTTAAAGATACTAATGTCATGTAGCTTAAGGGCATGGAAAATTACTGGTGTTCATGAAGCATTCTGCAATCCCTTGATAAAGAGCACAACATAAATCAATTATAATCCTGTGTGCATCATAATCAACACATGTAAGTACTACCTGGCACCTGTTTAGATTCTCTCATTTCTTTTATATCTTTAATATAGAGTCTTGCAAATGCAGAAAATACAGGATCCATCCCCCAGTGCAGAGAAGGCGTCTCTTCTTCATACTTCTTGGACTCAGACTGCATTCAAAACCTGTGAACACAGAAGAACTTGTAATTATTTTCTATACAGGTAAAGAGCTATTCACATATGTTCCAACTGAATGAAAAAATAGCTTGTGATTTTACACAGAATAACACAGCAGAGCTGATGAAGAGACACAGGAACTTATCTAATACAATATTATCTTCACATCACCACAGGAAATATTCGAAATATCAATACTGATGATTTACTCCAAGTACTGAGATTGACTACAATGGCATTTTTCCCAGCTCCTTCAAATGAAATAGAATTTCAGGGATTTCTCCTCTATAGACCCATAAACAGAGAACTAAATACAACATGTCTTTAAAGAGCAGGATTGTGGGATACTAATTAGTTACTTTCTGTACACTTGATTATTCCCCCCGCCCCATCATTCTTTTTCCCTTTCATAAGATACCCTCCTCATCGTTCATCCTGTGCTTTATTGCGGTGATGGGGGATAGTTATTTTATATAAAAGAAAAATCTGTCCCTTCTTTATTTTGGGCATACGGTCTCCAATAACTTAATAATTGTTTCCCCTTTTACCACTTCAGATTTCTCTGTTTAATGCGTGATATTTTCTGCCATTTCCAGAGTGAATTCTCTGCTTATCACAGCATTGATATCAAAGAAACCCCAGCACGCAATTCAGGAAAGATCCTTGTAGAGATTTGGAAGGTCAATATACTTTTTATTAGCTTCTCCTGTATCGATAGCTAAACTGTTCCCATAAAGCTTTCCACATCACCCTCAAATGGGTGTCAGCCACTTACAGGTGTAGGGCAAAGGTGGTACATGGACCGATTTTGAATAGTGTGTAATAGGGCTGAGATTTGGCAGCTACAGTCTCCTGAGAGGGAGCAGCTCCCTGCTATGGGTTGCCAGTGATCTCTCTAGTCTGCAGGAGACACTTCTAGCTACTCATGTAGAGGCAACACACCATGAATATCATGATAGCATCTTGTTTCTTTGAGAAACAACAGAGGCTGGATTCTGCATGATTTCTGTTTTCACACTTAAACTTTAATTTGAGGCAGGAAAACAGCGCAGCACAACATGCTAGACTGTTGCTGACATCTACTCTACATTGTGAGAAGAACTGCAGATGACAATTATATTAATTTCCAAATTTAAAAAAAAAATTTAAAAGCAACAAAAGGTTAGTGACACTTTGACCTTCCTTAGACTGGTCATTTGTTTTGTAAGATGTTGAAAATACTTGATTTAGTCAGTTCCACCAGTCACTTCAGCTGCAAGTAACAAACTAAACAGTATTGTTTACACCTGGATTTACATCTCTTTACCCACTACAGGCAGCTTTTCCCAACCTATCCCTTTTGCACATCCAATGTCTACTCAAAACCCATCCTTTTCACACTCAAGCCTCCCCACGAAGCACACTTTTTCTGCTGCTGAATTGCAGACAATGCTCAGTAGAATTTTATAAACTGTATGATCATAATAATGCAAAGCTGCTATTCTGGCAGTTCTCCAGTTGCTTGTTATAGTCTATGTTAAATTTAGACCATAAACTTTCCCAAGCAAACACATGATTTTAACCTGTATTTTACTTAGCATGCTCATTTTCATAATAAAATTAAGTCTTCCCCATCCTACTCTTTTTCTGCTTGCAGGCTCTAGTACAAAGTTGCCTGCATTGTTCCTATGTTACTGTGCTTTTATAGTTTCTACAAAAAAAAAAAGAAAAAAATAAATTTAGCCCAAGAAAAGGTCATGGCAAATAAGAAAAGTTCACACATTGATTGATAAACATACACACTATAGTCAATCAAGGTTAACACATGATGAGTTGGAATAAAGAGAAGCACTACCAGGCAGTGTCATCCTGCCTCCCACTCGCAAGATAAAATTTTAAGATATAATTTTGTCCTTAATGGTGCTACAGTCCCTCAACTGTTCACTTTTAGTGGCATTTCTCCCCTGACAAGAAACATGGATAAAATCACAGTCTTGTTCTCCAATATAATCTTTTATACAAAGTAATATTCCTTTCTGCACCAGGCCCCACATCTTACTTTGCATGGTTACAAAGTCTGTCATAGCTCAGCACCCGTTTTTTCTCCTAGACAGATGGCAGACTGAGCTAACAAGCCAAAAAGAGAGAATTGGGTGACAAGCCTGTCTAACTTTTTGTATTTTGCATGAACAGCCACTCATTGGAGTAAAAAGCAGAAGTCACCCCTGCACATGCGTACATCTGAGGGGAAATCAATAAAGCAGCACCACTGGAGATTACTGAAATACCAAAATGCAGAGATTTTTAAACAGTTGTCAAGTCTGAAATGCCCAAATGTTAACAGATCACTAGCCAGAAGTCCATACAACACTTCTAGCTTAAATGAATGTCATGGTTTAACCCCAGCCAGCAACTAAGCACCACGCAGCTGCTCACTCACTCCCCCCCCATCCAGTGGGATGGGGGAGAAAATCGGGAAAAGAAGTAAAACTCCTGGGTTGAGATAAGAACGGTTTAATAGAACAGAAAAGAAGAAACTAATAATGATAATGATAACACTAATAAAATGACAACAGTAGTAATAAAAGGATTGAAATGTACAAATGATGCGCAGGGCAATTGCTCACCACCCGCCGACTGACACCCAGCCAGTCCCCGAGCGGCAATTCCCTGCCCACCCCCTTCCCAGTTCCTAAACTAGACGGGACGTCCCATGGGTATGGAATACACTGTTGGCCAGTTTGGGTCAGGTGCCCTGGCTGGGCATGAGAAGCTGAAAATCCTTGACTTTAGTCTAAACACTACTGAGCAACAACTGAAAACATCAGTGTTATCAACATTCTTCACATACTGAACTCAAAACATAGCACTGTACCAGCTACTAGGAAGACAGTTAACTACATCCCAGCTGAAACCAGGACAATGAAGCATGTCCCCAAATCTTTTACTGCTGCCCTGTCCTGAAGGGGGAAGGATTTCTTCAGCAAAAGCTCTTTATCTCAGAAACTACTGGAAGTTAAATCTCAAATTCTGGAGCTTCTTTCTAGCTCCCAGACCTTGTTACAGCTCTTCACTGGAGAAATTTACATCCATCTCATCTATCTTCATGTACAGAACCACCCTGGTTGGTTCAAGTCTGCTACAGACATACCAAGTTTAATCCTACAGATGCAGCACAGATGCCTTGATAAAAAGTAAATCATACCCCCAGCCCTGTGAAGGAACCACAAGATTTCTTGAAGTCCACAGGACAAATCTGGTGAAGTCATGAGTTACAGACACTCCATCCACACCAGGCTGAGACAGTGAAATCATGCTCTAGCCACTCACTTGCTTTCAGCAATGTCTGACAGACACATGAAGAGCATTCTGCAGGGCCGTCTCCCCTTGCCTCTTTACAGTCCCAACAGCCCTCCCAAGCCCTGCCACCACCCAAAACCAAGCCCATTTTCTCTCTTCCCTCCCAAGTGGCCACTTGGTAGCTACATTTGAACATTGACCTATTTAAAGCGAAAAGCTTGTGGCCTGTTGGGAAGAAAAGATATTTACTGCCTCCTGTACTGCTTGCCTCCCCACACTCCTATTACAAGTTCATTCTTCTCGTGGTGTTAACAGCAGTTGTCTTTTTGCTCCTATAGCAAAGGAAGATGTTAAGTCAAAGCAGCACCCTTTCCAAAGGATCTATTTTTCAGTTAGTTTCCAAGATTGTTTCAGGCAGATTGATAGTATTGGAAAACATAATTCTTACACAGCAAATAAAATTCTTTCAATCAGTTTTTCTTTTGCAATATAATGGTATATTCCCATAACTTTTTCTTAAGTTGGCTCAGGAAGCCTCTCCATCCCAGGCAGAATATCCCAGGGGTTAATTAATTAGCGAGTCATCCTGGCGAAAGTAGAACTTTCCATTATGCTGGAAGTGTTTTCAGCTCTTAACTGGTACCACTGGTGATACGCTATCAGCAAGGAAGATAACAGCTACCCTGTACAATGAAGATCGAAGGGGCAAATAGCAGGCATTGTGGAAATACACAGCATTACAATCAATGAGAACACAGATAGCTAACAATAGACAATTCTGAACAGATACTATATGTACAAATGTTTAAGGATTAAACTGGCTTTTTCTGAAAGACGATGATAATGCTTAGCAATACAAACAATAGAGAGTCCTAGCAAAAGGTCATCCTTTTCTGCATTTTGTTTTAAATGCAGTGTAATGACTTTATGGTTGCTGTAGTGCAAGGAATTCAATCCTGCTACAGGAGAAAAAAGGCAAGAGAAGCATCTGGTCCACAAGTTTATTAGATATAAGATATCTGTATTCTATTTTTACCTCTATAAAATAACTCCAAAGAAAGGCATAATCAAAAACAAAAATAGAATTAAATTCTGCTATTTGTACCACTTCCTGGGAAAACAATTCTGTTTCAAAGGCAAAAATCTAAAGTTTACACAGTAGTATCTAAATACAAATAAACAAAACCTCTCAGTTTGAGATAATTCTATACACTAACCTATTAAAATAAGGCTGTCTCTTTCACCTCAATGCTATCAATGTTAGCTTTCCTGACTGTAGTGAGAATTAAACCAAGTCCGTAATCCTCAGAGTTATCTTGTGAGCTCAGCAAGGTATTATCCTAAAAGGGAAAGAAGGGAAACCAAGGAAAATTGGCAGCCTTCCCAACAACACCACCACCCAAACCCAAGCCCATTCAGTCCACCTGGTAGCCATGTTAGAATAGATCCCCATTTAACACCCGAGAGATTTGTTCAACAGAATCAGCCCGGGCCAATAAATTTCCTGGCTCCTACTCCTGTATTCACCATGCACCTTTTTAAAAAATGGTAAATGATTAAGAATTGGTCTTCTTCCAATCCCAGTGAAATGGAAACCCTGAAGAAGAGTATCTGTTTTAATGTTTCTTGTTGTCTTTTCTCCAGATGTGGTTAACAACCAAAGCTCTTGCAGAAAATTTCCTTAGTTTGGAGATGAATTGTTTGGAGCCATAGAAAAGGTATCTTTC